AGAGAAAGTTAGAAAGCAGCTCCAGGCCCAGATAGATGTTTTTTTCTGCTCTGACTCAGAAGCCCAGCGACCCGCTCTTTCTGATGAGTGGGCAAATTAAAGGAAGCTTAAATCTGGTGCCTAGGAGGAGTTGTTACAAGACTTCAGTTACCTAGCAGCAGAAGTAGGTGCTTGCAGTGGGGCACAGACAAAGTATACGAGAAGAAAGTTAGAAAGCAGCTCCAGGCCCAGATAGATGTTTTTTTCTGCTCTGACTCAGAAGCCCAGCGACCCGCTCTTTCTGATGAGTGGGCAAATTAAAGGAAGCTTAAATCTGGTGCCTAGGAGGAGTTGTTACAAGACTTCAGTTACCTAGCAGCAGAAGTAGGTGCTTGCAGTGGGGCACAGACAAAGTATACGAGAGAAAAAAATAAATGGAGGAGCCCAGGGAAATGAAGAGCATGAAAGAGATGAGGGTTATCTTCCCAGTGAGATGGAAAATAGGTGCATTTTGGTGAATTTTTTTTTCTGTATCATTTTATTTTCCCAGAAAGGAGATTACCTAGGAAAGTAAAAAGTCTGATTCGTTAATAGAAATCTTAAAAGATTTTGCTTCCTTCAGAAATCTGGGAACAAACTCTGGAATGAAAACGAAACATTCTTGGATTGAAATGTCAATAGCTACCAAATGGTTCCGAGGGCATGAAGAGGCCCTTGGAACTTGAAAATTCACAAAGCCGTCTTTATGGTTAACCCTCTCACCAGGGCATGATGCACCGGATAAACAAATGCAATAGCCACACTTGTGGAAACTTTCCTCAAAGAGAAAGTTATTAGGAACTAAGAAATTATAGCAGAGCTGATATCCTCTCTAAAACCTTCAGAAGAAAACCCAAAAATCCATATATGGACATGACACATATACATTTGTGACTGATGTCCATCAGCTACTTGTGTGGATCCTGCATTCGTAATATTGTATACTACTAAGTGCAAGAGCCTTACTGTCAAACCCAGCTATTTGGTAAAGCCCATCACAGGAATATCTTAATTTTCTATTACAGAAAGGCGTAGGAGTAGCTTTCCAGTCTACAGTGGAAAGTCGACTTCTTGTCCAGTCAGCACTAGTTCTGCTCCGTTCTTCAGAGAAACAAAAGCCATAGTATATGTGTTCTTACAGCTCCAAGTTCTTTTGAAGGGGAGGATAATGTGAGAAAAGCCAACTTCATTTACATTTCAACTATTGAATTTATGGCGAGGAACTATTTAAACACAAAAGTTTTCATGGAGCCATCTCCACAACACAGACTCTTCAGTTCTGAAAACAGGCACCCTGAAAATGAGAAACCCCTGAACGCATCTAAGAGTTCACATGATGTCTGCGTAGGAGCCAGAATTTGGTTTGCTCTCTTAGCTATTGGAGGCTGAGATGCTAAAAATTTCAAATCAAGTCAGTAATTTCCAAATTACAAATGTATTCAAGGGGTCATGAATCATTTCATTTTTAAATGTAAAAATATTATGCCTTTTAATACATTTTTTTACTTATGCTTTGCTGCTTCAGGTAATCTCATGTTTTACATTTACAGCATATTTTAGTTCTTCTCTTTTGTTATAGAAAATTGAACAAAGCTTGTAGCAGTTCTGATTTTGTTCAGATTTAAAGAAGAGTTCTGTGTTAAAGGAGATGTTATAGACAGCTTCCCTCCCTTTTCTGCTGAAATACTCCCTATCCTCTCATTTCATTCAATGCCTCCTCAATATCTCTGTTTTGATCCTTGCAATACTCCCTATGAAAGTGCTGCCAGGCAAGATGCAGGGATTCCAAACCTGGAGGCAGGGAAGCAGATTGTTTCAAAAGTACCTCTCATGACTAAAGCCTAAATGGCTCCTGATGCTGCTATAGTGCCGGTTTAATTAGCTTTCCCATTTTATTTATTTGATGTTGTTCAGTTGTTTTGTGGTCGTGGGTTTGTTTGGGGTTTTTTTAATTGGTGCTATGTGTTTTTATGATCGATTGCAAATCAGCATCCCATAGCTGGCTTCCATTTTTGAAAGAAGCTTTGCCTCACTCTCTTAGTAAGACTTTTCTCTTTGGTCTGCACAGTTTAAATTAATATCGATAGGGCTTGAGCATGTGCATTGAGGGCATATGTCTCTTGGAGTGAGTGATCTATGGCTGGCAGGCTCTGTCACACAATGAGAAATTTTTACTTTTACTGCCACCTTCATTTGGTATTGCTGTCAGACCTCTGCCGACCCTGTTTGTGCCCTCTCCCTTGCCTTGACCGCAGCCTTTCTGTCACCTTCCCGTGAGTTCAGCCTGCTTCACGGCAGCGCACACAAGGAGAGGTGAGGGGGTACAAGGTATAGAAGGAACACGTTCTGCTGCCCTTGTGCCGAGTTCTGTGTTTCAGGGAATGCAGAGGCCATTATGGCTAGGTACCGGA